CATACTGTCCATCACGTTTGCCAGTGGTTGGCAAACCTTCGCTAGGTTCATTTGCACGGTTAAATCGAAAGAAAAGCTTAGACATCTGAATAGACATTTTCGTTGATCTTCTTTCTCTTAAAAAGGGGCATGGTAACCGGTGATCTTTCCCAGTATATCTCTTTTCCTTTATAATAATATAAGAAAAAAAGACTCGATGTCGGAGTTCCTCACAGGTTTGATACTTCAGTACTGTTTTGACCGACTAAATACAACTTGGGTCCCGTTTTTTGAAGCTATACGTATTCTCTGGCTTAATCGATAGGAACTTAGGAACCATCCTTCTCTTTTTATTTATTTATCTTCAGGAAACAGATTATCAGCTGCTCCTATGGCTGAATGTGACACAAACATTCCTCGAAGGGAGGACGATATTCAGGAAGTATTGAGATCTTTGCATGCAAGGATAACGGACTATTTTCAGGCCTGTCACCCAACACATCGACTGGATTTCGAATACAAACTTAAAGAAATAGGTGACTGGGTAAGAAAACAAAAGGAGAGTGAGAAAGATAAATCAAGGCAAATTTATATCGAAAATATGGGTAAAGTTATCGTAGCTTCCATAGACACCCTAGGCAAGTTTGGAAGTGGGAGCACTCATGCAGTTTACAAGGGAGTATTGGAGATCATGTCCAGTTTGGCTGTATTGAAAGGCGAGCCGTATGGACCTGCATTTAAAGTGCTGTGTTGCATCCTTAGTGCTGCTCTCACCGTCAACAAGCCAAATGAACCAAGTGTTGTGGCAAAATTGGCAGAAGTAGTTCACAGCGAATTGACTCTCTTCAACAGAAAATTTCAGGACCAGAAGTACAATGGTCTCAAACGACGTGTTTCAGATCAGATCTATCAGCTTCAGTCGATGCAGCCTGGAGAGAAACTTGATGATGACAATCTATGGAATGATTACGTTCAGTTTTTGGGCGAGTTGGCCAACAGGTTTGAGTCACCGCTTCCTTTTAAATATGAAGATAGCGTGGCGGAAGATCCTGATGTGGCAGATTGCGTGACAGCCTTGGTCACGTATTGCGAAGCTTACGGCTGTTTCATGGCTCTTCTGTTAGCTGCCAAAGGAAAATATGTTCAGTTTGGAAGCGAGTATAAAGAGAATGAAGAGGTCGTGAATCGAAAGATAAGCTGTCAAAGAAGGGATGCGAAAGGAAAACTTTCTTTTCTGTCAGATGTGAGGTGTTTGACGTTCCTCGGAAGTCTTCCCTACCAGGGTGGAAAATTGACCAAGATTTTGGCTTAAAGCAGAAACCTTGGCGGTAAGAGCTTGGTATAGACAGTCAGAGGCAGCTTGGCTTTGACGCCAATCCAAAGTCTTGACACGGTGGAATCTGCCGCGAGGAAAGTGTCTCGCCAGTTAGTGAAGGTAAAAGTAGAAGGGCATTAAATTCACACTGGAAATTGGCTGAGACGTCATGTTTTGACAGCTTTTGGGCCGTCATTTTACGCTCATTTCATCAGCGAGACGAACTTCCCCATGAAAATTGTTTCAGGAAGATTCGGTCAGAATAAAGATAACCTTGAGTTTGTCCAGGTTGTTCAGCCTCATGTATCTCATCCACAGAGGGCGGTTTCCTTTACTGATTTTTTGGGAACGGGTTTCTCTACTGGAAGCTACATCACTCTTTATCTGAATGGAATCGTAAGCCCAGATATGGCACCACCCGCAGACGATGTTAGGGTTATGGAGTTTGCTTTATCGCTAGGACTCTTGCCACCCATTTTCAATCGCAAGATCATTAACATTGAGGACAAAACAAGCAATGAATTTACAGGTGGTAAAGACACTTACAAGAAAATGAATTCTAGCGAAACCAAGACTTTGTACTGGTTTGATAAAGGAACACACTTCATGGCAAGAGGAGAGATTGTAACTCAATATTTCACAATAGATATTTGGCGTTCTATTATCCAGGAGTTCGATCCTTTAACTGAAGAAGATTAAACACGTAGTTTCACTTCTTAGCCTGCAAACTTTTACTTCATGTTCATGACCCAAGTGGCGCCATTTTGTACTCGTATATACCTATCCCATGTGAAGGTGTATTCTATGTTCATTTTGATAATTTTGGTTTGGATTACGCTAAGCCGTAGAACTGTTGCATCGGTGGTTCTGCTTGTTGAGACATGTACTCTGTAGTTTCTGAAACACTAGTAAATGTCGGCTTCCTTTGACCAGATGTTCACCTGGAAAGTTGCTCATATGTGGACCAAGTTAGTCAAATTATGTTGCATATACCCATGATCAACGCCGAATCCGTCCCCTCTTATCACCACAGCCTGGCTGTGGGTCGCTATATTGTGACCAAGTGCCGTAGTAAGCTAGGATTAAAGAATGAAGCATATATTTGACTGTAAATGACTAGTGTCCTTGAATAAATTATCCTATTAATCTATATACTTAACCGCCAGAGACAAACATTATTGACATTTATGTTTACAAATATACCTCTTGGAAACTATTTTTAAGACAAATTGCTTTTTTAATTAGTTTGACCGCTTATAACATTTTTAATAATGCGTTCTACATTTGATTTGTTTGCATGTGACTTACCTCAGTGCTTTCCTGTATTATCAATTTCCCGTAACAGTGGGGTTGCTAATATTGATGGCTACTGGTGGAAACTAGCTGTAGAGGATGTTAGGTAATGAATAAAAGAAAGGAAAATTGTGGATTGAAACTTATACTGGTTTTGTTCATCGGGAAATTTACCATCATGGGGGCTACTCGGGCTTGCAAACATGACACCATTTCAAATATAGCTATGCACACCGAGTAGTGGGGTGTGGTGTAGCAGAAAATTTCAAAACCTTGAGGCTTTAAAGCCTAAAACTAAGGTAGCAAACCCTGGGAGAAAATTAAAAAGGTTACTCAGATCAACCGGAAAAAAAAATATTTGTCATCGTGTGATTTCATTTTCACATTAATGGTCAGAGGTGGTAAAAAAAATCAATCAATCAGTCTCCGCACGCACTTGAGACTTTAACTAAAGAACAAATTACACCCCTGGAGTTGTAAGGTAGCAAGGCTTGGGAACAAATCAATAACAAATTAGACTAAAATGAAAATAAAAATTACAGTCGTTTGATTTTATTGTCACAATAATTGTCAGACGTGGTAAGTACAATTGATGTCAGCACTTGAGAATTTAATTAGGGAACAGATTACACCCCTGGAGTTGTTTGTAGAAATTTTGGATTTTTTCCAAAACGGACTACTATAAAGGAAAGGCAGCAGAATATTACAAGACAAAACAATGTTTTGAAAGACTATTACTTAATTGTAATGGTCTTGATACTCCTTCATAAGTAGTTGCTTTTTTTCCTTTTACTAACCGGTTGAGTTAAGGTTGATGAAAGAGAAAGATTTCATCAATGGAATTTAGCGTGTGTAGTGGTTGGGTTTCCCTTGCTTTGGATTTGTGTTTACTTAGAGATCGTTTTCACGTGACGTCGCATCATTTCCGGTCGGCCATATTGGTGTACCACTTTCGATTGCGTAAGTCAGCCAAGACCAGATCCCCAGGCAACAACTTATTTAAAATTCCACAGTTCTCAGTTAAATATTTGTCTGATGTTCGTCCTTCCCAAGCTTGGGAAACATAGGAGATTGTACCTTGTGGAGTTATCCCAATCAGCACCTTAACAGTGTTATGGTGTTTGTACGATGACCATGTCTGTGCTCTTGCGAGCAGATTTGATGGTCTATTAATAAATACTTCGAAACAATCAATAATAACGGTAGTTTTGTTTCCAAATGAATATTTAAAACACTGTGGCATAGTTCGCCATAAATCCTCAAGTTCAGGCCAGTTGATAAGTGGAGCCAGGCGTACATCTAGCGCTACCATCCAGGATGAAAAAATTCTTGAAACTGTTGAAAGGGAGACATTGAAGCGATATGAAAGATCTTGATGTGGTGCGTCAAGTTTAAGTTTTATCAAAGTCATGACAAACTCTTGAAATGTGGTCAGATTCTGGGACTTGTAAGCAACAAACGGAGAAACATGTTCGAAAACATTTTGCAGGATATCGAAGGAAGGCAATCCAGTGTAGAATTTAACTTTTTCTTCGTTTTGTACAAATTCCCACCGATCAAATGGTTTCCGGTCAATGTTTAGAGAGCTGAATAAATATTCAAACTCTTCAGTTTGTGTGCCAGCTTCAACTGTTAATTTTTTCTCTTCGTCCTCATTTCCTTCAAAGCTGAGGTTTGAAACCTGTTCACCGGGCTCATTAAGTTTCTGTCTCTTCGCCATTCGCTCTTGTTCTAGCTCTCGTTCTCTCTTTTCAAAAGCCGGCTTCTTCACCAGTTCACGTTCCCTCGCTCTCTCGCTTCGTTTTGCCGCCGCTTCTTTATGATCTGCTCGATCAGTAGCTTTCTTGTGTCCCAAAAGCAATGTCGGAACCCAGTCAATATTAAATTTATCCCAGCTCTTAGCTGCCCTTCCTGAAACAAAATGCTTTTCGCACACACGATCGTTTTCTAAGATCTCTTCGGTCAGATCGTCACTGCTTTTCGCTGAAATCCAGCGCGATCTTCTTTCTTCGGATAGTTTCTGTGCCTCTTCGCCTTGATTTGTGACCACAGAAGGCATCCTTGCAAAGTACAACCCTTTATCTCGTCCACTTTTGCTGCCACAGCCAAGGATCAGACACAAAACCATGTTCCACGCGAAGGACGCTACTAGTTTGTTTACAATTGAGGTACACCAATATGGCGGCGTAGCAACGGTAGTCAAGGAATTGGTCACGTGAGTGAAAACGATCTATTTGGAAGCCGCAGAGCAGTCAGTCCAAATGGGGTGGATGTGGCAATTAATTGGAAAAGTGTCATTCCTTGTAATGTATCAGGTGGAAGGACTCAAAAAGTGACAGAAATAGTTTCATTACAAAATTACTATTTTCCTAGGACCGGATGAACTCTTGAAATACCATTCATTCTTCGATCACCTAATAAAAGTAACAATTCGATTTGAAAACTCAGAGGGTATTCTGAGGAGGAGGCTCAGTGAAGCAATGATTGCTAGAATAATTCTCCTGCAGTGTTTTCTGGCCCTGAATGTTGTGCGAGTTCTCGGCTATGGTTATTCTTGGAAAGAGTGCACATGGAAGAGAGAGGATCCAAAAGATAAAGGCATCATATGGGTCAGTTGATCTACATTATCGTTTGTTAGCAAAGAGGCCTCTTCTTCAATATGCTACTAAAACCATTTTGCTCATACTATCGAAGCAGAAAAAAAGCAGCCGAAAACGAAAAACAAACAATGTCATCCTTGTTGGTTTTACCTCAGAGTCTTCCTCCATTTTATTCTTCTACGAATGATTGAAGAAAAGTAGAGGAGTAAAGATTTATTTGTAAACTGACGCACTGGAAATTCTGTTGAGGGACTAACGGATAAGGCCAACGGATTTCAATTTGTACCTTTCCTTAAGTATCATTTTGAAAGGTTGTGGGAAAGTTTGAAGAATTAATCTTAGACACTGGTGCACTCCGACAGGTGTTGTAGTATTTCTGACCTTCATGTGCATGTTTAGGCAAGCTTGATGTTTGATCGATTGCTCTCTTAACAGGCCTGTGAGTTCCAGAAACAAGTCAGTTACACAGCCCTTCGTGTATTCTATTCTGGAAATATCAGAATCTCTGGATGTCATCACTGTTGTAATCGGTGGTATTTCACATTTAACGGTGTCGAGTGCAGTACTCCTGGGCCAATAGAAGGCGCTCTGTACCAGGCCCACGCCGGAAATCTCAACAGTCACGTGCACGGTCACATTGAAGGTCACTGCCATAACGTACAGGAGGGAGGGGTGAAAGTAGAAGTAAGAATCGGTCCTTGCCTTGGCACAGGGTTACCATTGGGGAATGGTCACACAGGCTTTGCCACATTGTCAAGAATCTTTATTGAAGAGGTGACATTGTATGCAACATAACATTAACCTGTCAGCTGATGCTAACTTCCGAGTATTCAAGCCCCGCCTATTATCGAAGGTTTTAAGATGATGGATTTAGGACAAACAGCCCTTTGTATTATTGCTCTGTTAGTTAAGCAATAAAAGCCTTCATAAGGGGAAAATACGTGTTGTTTCTTTTCATTTTATACCTCACACCATACTATTGGACAATACCAAATGAGCGTTCAAGAGTAGCAGTTGAAACGGTTATCGTCAGGAGTGTGCAATGATAGTGTTTGGAATAGAAGTACAGACTTTTAAAAGAAATAGGTGAGAATTTAGCTCGGCCAGTTACACTCAGTGCAAGGGTTGTCTCGGATACCCGAGATATGCAGTGAGTCCTTAGATTACATCTCCACTTATTGCGTCGTTATCAAGCTGTAACGTCCCCAGTCAAAGTTAACTGAGCTAGAGGTACTTTGCTGTAAAGAGGTTTCACTTACTAACCTACTTACTCTAGGATGAAGGAAGAACGGATGAATATAAATGATATATATTAAACACAGAAACGATATATGTTGATTTGCTAAGTCGCCAGAGTGCAAAATCAGTGCAGGTTTATGCAAACTGGAACACTAACTTCAATTAATTGATCCTCCTGAAAACTTGAATGATTTAAAATTAATTTGCGCACGAAAACCCGCCTGCCTTTTGGCAATATGTATGTTGGTGTAAGGAAGAAAGGGTATGTACAATTCTATCTATAACTTATGGCTGTTGTCGATATTTCCTTTGCTGCGAGACATGCTTCTATACGTGCACACAGAGCTACTTAATTTGATCCATCCTTGTTGTTATGTGTTCGCTCGTGAAGTATTCGCGTCACTGGTAGAAGTTTCAATGACAAGTTTTATTTTGTTGTTTTCATTTCCATCCATGAAAGGTTTCCATGAACAGTACAGGGCCTCTGAAGCCAGCTCGTCGCTAGAAAAAAAGAAACAAATGAAAATAACTGTTATCAGCTGTAACTCAGCAAGGCCCTGTACAGCCTCTGTGGCTTATAAAGCCATGTTTTGTTTATTTATTTACTGATATATTCACTTCTTAGTTATTCATGTAACTTGCAGGCAGAAGTACAATGATATCATGTACATACAATGGTACAAGATCCTAGGATTGATTTTGCAGTTAATTGTGAAGAAACTGTAGAAGATTACAAATTTAGGCTCTGTCACCTTATATCCGAGGTAGAACTTGAATATGACAGACGATTTCAATAACCAAATCGTTAAACCTTTGCTTTAAAGTGAGGCAGAGTTTAGCGAACTCATGAACTCCCAGCCAGGCAGGGAAGCAGTCAAGATCTGAGGACCTCGATGGAGAATCGATGATTGTTTTATGTTGGTTTAGACTTATTTCTGGTATCATAACTATAGATCCACGGGTGGGTCTTAAAAATATGTTGAAAATAATTGGGAAATAGTTGGATGTTATGCGAATACCTAAGTTTAGTTGTCATGGTTGCCAAACATCACTTTCGACGTATCTCTTGATTTCAGGTCTCTGTAATCTTTTTTTCTAAAATATCGAATACTGCGCACATTAACGAATGCAATGAGTTCATGTATGGCTGCATGGGTAAAGTACTCAAGCTTGAGAAGGTGTCCGATACATGAATACGCTTCACCGAGGTGGAGTGAAGACTTCTGCTGTGTGTATTATATTTTCCATTGTCTCTTATGTGGCAAATGCTTTACTTTGTTTCAACAGTTTACTGAAAAAGGGACTTACTGAAGACAAATGACTGCCATTTCTTCTTGAAATCCCTTTTTCATCTTTTTTATTCTAAAATGAGATAAAATATACACATGATTAACGTTCTTTCGTGCCTCTTTATTTTGGGGGAAGTATTAGAGAGAACGAAAACACAACTGAAATATGATTACATAAGAATAACATATGAAACACAAAACATCAAATAATAAAATATAAAAATGTTTCAAAGTAAAAGTTATCAGCTTTTATTTTTCTAGAGGCTCTTCAAATTTGGACGTTGCTCACCTAAACTAATTGAACAGAATTGAATAGTTTAGTGTTATTGAAAACAATGGCGGTAGGAAAAGTTCTATATCGTTAATAAATCATATGAATTCTAAACAATTGACTGAAATAACGACAACAACAATCCTTGTTGTAGTCTTATCTGCCTAAACTACACGTAATTACAATAGCTGGAATAACCAGGAGTTGCCAGAGCCGGGCAGATTTTAAGGCAAAATAAATTGGTTTTATCAGCTTAGTTGATAATGTAAATTGGTTACCGTAAAGAGTTTTTAAAACTGACGTTTCGAGCGTCAGCCCTTCACCAGAGCCCCTCTGACGACGGGCTAACGCTCAAATCGTCAGCTAAAGGAATGGACTCTTTACGGTGACAAATTTACATTATCACCACAGCTGATAAAACTAAATTACTTTGTAATGCCCCCCACCGATGCAGCACCACGGATTTTAGAGATTTTACAGCAAGTTTCGTGTCTCACCTTTTCCAGCGAACAAAGAATACAGCTGCAGCGACTCCTACAGCTAATAAACAAAATCCTAACGAGAGAGACACAGCCAATATTGTACTTGATGAGCTTTCGTGTGCTTTATTTGCTTGTGCGTTTGCTTCTACGATACTAGTTGTGGTTCTGCTCTTGGTGCCTTCAGTAGTTTCTGTTGTCTGAAGGAGTTCCCCACTAGTTGTGGCTGTTGTCGTGGGAAAAATATTTGTTGTTTTGATTGTTGTTAGATCAAATAGTTCAGTTGGGGCGGAACTTGGTGAAATTGTACTATCAGTTGTTGTAGCGTTAGACTGCGGACGATGCACTGGTGTTGTGTTGCTTGTTAATGATTCCTTGTCTAAAAAGGAAAAATAAATATTCAGACCAGGAGAGCAAGGCTCTGTCATCTAATTCCGTTAACCCCCCAGGAACTGAATAGTAATTCTCTCTTCTGGTTGTAATACGTTCCATTGCAAATTAGTCAAGAGAAATTGTAGTTTTATCAAGGTGAGATCGTCCTGCCGATGCTGGATCATCACTTGTTAAAAGGATAATGTATTGAAAACAGAAGAAGAAGTGGTATGAAAGTCAACTCTGGGGGTTCAAGCGTGAAATGGTTTACAGCCTGAGCAGGGTGTAGATGATATCATGTTAATGAATTTTATAATGAAGACTAAGAGGGATTAGTAGAACCCCTGAAGTATCAGTTGATGGAAAAGAACACGATGTAAATGGATGATTAATATTGCTTGACACGCTATGGTCAAAAACTGTCGAAAAGTTCTAAACATTATTTTAACGATGAAATCCTCACTTTTCTCTATTTTGAGGGTAGAAGTTCTGCTATAAGGGAATGCGTTTTTGATCGCTGAGTCCTCTTCAAATGGGTTGAGGAATACCCCTGCTGCGAGAGATGTCATGAATCATGATTTTCAATGTTTCACGAATCACGAAAAATATATTAAAAATTTTACGATTCGGAATACATTTCTATCATGATACACAGAAAGTTTCCTAAGCAAAACAAAGATTCATGGAGAGCAAATATAGAAAATAGGAAGCCAAGAATAAGCTTGGCTGATTACAGACCAAAATAGTTTTCATGCCAGAAACAGTAAGCCATTAGATCAGGACTGACTCTCGAACATATTACAATAAAAACTAATGAGCTGCTGTCTGTGTATTTTTTGAATCATGAAAGCTTCTATTGTGAATGAACATTGAATAGGTTATGCCTCGTAATGCCAGTCGTTTTTGAAAAAAAAATTGGCGAAAAATTTGTGGATGCGTGACTTGAATTACGCCCGGAATGCATCAATATATGGAAATGTACGTCATTGATACCAGTATTAACGTGTCTGAACTGTGTTTTGGCGATGGCTAATACAACAGGACTTCAAACATGCATGTTACATAGTCCATAAGACAGCCACCGACGTAGATAGATCAGAAATGGTCTCAGTCGAAATAGACCCAACATTGACACAAATGAATTACGCAACTGTTACGACCATAACAAGAACTTAGCGTAACACGGTGATAAATCAGTAGTGAGTGCAAAAAGACATAATTATAGGCTTGTCGCTCGCTCTATTTCGATAAATTTCAGTAATGAAGCATCAAAAGATGATTTCCTTTTGTGAAAAAACAATAATTCGGAGACATTAATCGATGGTTTTAAGAATCGAATCAAAGGTATTATATGTGGGGACATCCCGATAGTTGAGTACGGAGTAATTAAAAACAAATTAATGTTGGTGTAATCTGGTTTAGCTGGCCTCAAACATTACAACACGGCTTAGAAGCGTCTTGTTCTTACCTGACGTATTTGTGCTGTTTATGAGGGGTTTTAGCGACTGCGACGAAGCGCAAAACATTGACATCAAAATGATGGCGGTCAAAATGTCGGAATGTTTATGCAGCAACATCTTCAGCAACATCTTGACCAACTGCCAAGGAAGGAACAGTCGAATTTCGTGTCTCGTTCAGCGGTTTACAAGATGCCAATATATGACGCTGCAGATCGGCGCAAAAACTGTACTCTGTAGCGCGCAAGCAAAGACTGATATCAATGCCCGTAGATAGCAGTCATGACTTACTGGTGACAGCAGCCGCACACATCCCTTTTGATCGCGGTTGTCAGCGTCTTTCTAACATACCAAAAGTCAACTGATATCAAGTTTACCTCCATTTGACCGTAAGGCCAATTTTTTGGCACACTTTCTGGTTTCAGCTTTCTGTCTTTTGTGTAAATTCTGCTCTGTTATGACAACATCCTGTTACCTGACCCCGTTGGATTTGACGTAGTTGCACGCGATATACGCCCTAAATACTTGAGGGTGAAACACCGGATGATCATCGGCAGGATCTGAAATGACGTTGTTGAACAGACCGGGTGATGTAATTCTCTATTGAAACAGAGTATATTGAAAATGTGTTCCTATGTGAATTGGACAGAAAATGAAAGCATCTTACCCATGCGTTTTCCTTTCAGCGTAAGCTCACTAAGAGACCAAAAGTGCACCAAGTACCATCAGAAGCATGTAAAAGTCGTTTTCCTCTACCCCCCCCCTCCCCACCCTCCCGGACCTGGTGAGTTTATTTGGGATAAAAATTTTTGTGGAAAAAAGTGTTCAGGCTTAATGATGGCAAACTTCGATAAGCTTCGCGCAGAACTCTGGTATTCAGGGTGTTGAGACTCCAACGACACTTACTATCTCGCTTTGAACTTTGCACAGAGAACGACTTGTGACACGCGAAAGAAGTGACAGATTTAAAGACTGGGTCGTTATGCTGTGGATTTACAACGTTACTCCAGGGCTCCTTGTGGATTTATAGGATGGAGTGATGATTCAAATGATTTTATTAACTATCGTCCCTGATCTTCCAGTGAACCCCACCTTGGCCCCACCCCGTTACCCATAAAAAAGGGCGCCTATTTCAATGCCCTAGGCTCTCCCCCAAGTTTCTTTGAAGATTTGTACCTCTAGTTAGATTCCCTAACATTAATAGCGATATTAATCCATTAGTAGTGATGTTACAAGTGGAGATGAGTCTAAAGGAACCCTAATTTGCCCTGGAGGGTATACGGCATAATAAGCTGTTAGTAAATATACGGTACCCCCTAGAGGTATTTCACAATTACATAAACAAATGCGACCCTCCCACAACCTCCTCTCCGTCTGAAGTCCTGTTGGACATCAGGGCGAATTTTTTTTCCTAAACAAAATCGGACTTGTCAGAACAAACAATTTTCCCGGATTTATCGCTGGTCGAGACCCAAGTTGTAAAACAAAACGATCTTGATGCAATATTTACGTGGATTTAAGTTACTGTATCGTGTCAGCCTTCTCTTTCAGGTGAGTAGTTCACCGTCCTACTTGCGGAGATCCAAATGCGTAAGTTGTATGATACCTACATTCGTCTTTTGGAGAACAGATCGTGTGATTTTCGTACAATCGCACTGCATAAGCTTGTGCGTGTGCGGCCACTGGCAGGTCAAAGTTTAGTTCATTACGGAGTCTTCCTAATTCATTAATTCAATGTGCTTAATCACCTAGGAAGTCGCCACAATTTGGCATTCCCCTCGTTCTACCACGTAAAAGTGAAAAACGATACAGAAAGTGGCTGTTTATTTTTTTTTTTTTTGATTGGCCGGAACTTGTTATACGACCCTTCTCTCTTACAGTAATCTCTCAGCTATTCCTCTAAGCCAATTGCAACTCCTGTACTATGAACACAAGATAACATTTATTAGGTGTATGACTTCCTGTGGTGCCCTTTATCTTTCTATCCCTTAGGGGAGGGGACTGGTGGTGTTCACCGGATTAAATCGATATATTCATATAAAAATAATGGATTCACAGCTTTAAGGGGAAAGTGTGTTTATTGGATGACATCAATAAAATGATAAACCTCACTGTGCATAGACAAGTAGTACAATGGACATGCATTGTGCAATAAGTGAAGTGATAAAATGGGGCAACATGAGAAATTTAGTCCAGGCATAATAATGTCAACAAATTGGTCTAACAATATTCAGGGGGGTACTTCCTAGTAATAGTCTCATGGGTATGTGCAGCTGGATTGGGTTGTATATTCATGACTGAATTGAGTATAAAAGGGTTACATTTTCCACAGAGTTACTCAAATGGGGTCACATTTTCCAGCTTTAGGGGAAAAGAAAACTCTAGAAAATAGGAATTTAATTATGGGAAGACTTGTGGTTTTGTTGTTTTGATATATAATAATCAGCTCGCAATACAAGATGACCTGTAAGAGGTGTTATCATGAGGTAGATACACAAACAGGAATTGACTAAGTTGGGATAAAAAAATTACATTAGCCCAAAACTGACTATGATGAGGTCTATAACTCGCCACAGAAGAGACTATTAAGAAGAGGTTCTGAATAATCAGCAATTGGCCTGAGTATTCCCCCCCTTTCTTGGGGAAATATAAGACCTGCATAAATATATGGGTAATAGCAAGCCTTTTTAATCAATTGAATAACTTTTAAAAAATCTGTTTCATGTTTTTGGTGGGATGAACCTATTCTTACCTAACATAAACACAGAGAACGTGCCATTGTCTCTGAGAATTCCAATCTTGTTTTGTTCAGTGAACCATTTTGTGTTTGTTTTAATTTATTTTTCTTTATAGTATTACTTTCTTAGCTGACTGACCCCTGAGAGTGACCAGCATTGAATTTCTCCCTATATTATCATAATTTAACCAAGTGTAAAGGTCATGAGAATAATGGAAATTATCACCAATGAAAGAAGCTCTTGATTGTTTAGCACCTTGATTGTGTGAGCACCTTGATTGTGTGAGCACCTTGATTGTTTAGCACCTTGATTGTGTGAGCACCTCAGAAAATTTATAGAGAACTGCAATGAGAATATGCATACTGATATTGGGGTGTACAGGGTCAAGAGTTTCTTCACCACTCTCTATATAAACTTGCAACATAATTTTTTTTACTCAGAGAATTTGACCATGATGCTCATGACAATGATTGTGCAGAGCAATTTTTTGTGTCCTTTGTAGCTTGTAGCAACCAACCAAATGGAACAAGCAGCTATGAACCCAGACAGCATTCAGCATCTTATATCAATGGCCAGACTGGAGACCCCAAGGATGAGATCAAGGACAATGGAAGGTCTTCAGATTTTTACTTGAAACCTGCTGCCTTATATGGATGACATCACCATTAGAAACAGATCAGGTCAGAGGATGGCATAAGAGTAAAAACAAAAGATAGGCTGACAATTAACAGCCATTAGGTTGGCAAAATACCTGCCTTGTAAAGAACAAGCAAATTTTCAAATGGCTGGGCTTAGGTTGAACCCTTTAGACCCAGTGCTGCATTTTTATATCTCATTATCATCACACTCAGCAAACTTTCATGATTTCAATTTAATGTAAAGAAAGAATTTTGATTTTAGTGCAAAAATTCTTTCCCTCAGCTGTTTCCAAGAATCATAATTTTTGTCTTATCTTCCTGCAGATATTTCAACATACTTGCTAGATGAACAAGAATTCTTAAGCTTTAAAAAGAAGACATTCAGAAAAACTCAGATGCCTCTGCTATACTTTTGTTTTATATGAATTGCCTAAGATGACAATTACAAGAGCATAAAATGAAATTTAAAGAAAGTAGTGGTACAAAGTGAGATAATGGACATTTACATGGATTTGTCATTTTTATTACACACAGATGTAACATGGATAAGACATTTGACTCAGGTTTACAAAAGGTTGTTGTCACAAATAGCAATAAAAGTGTCACTTTTGAATTATTTGTGGCATTTGGTTGAATGAAACTGGTAAATATATACAAAGGCAGACCTAGGCCTTTTACAGCTGTTGTGTTGTTTTCAGTAAGTACTGAGACCCTACATCCTACTGCCATGTTCAAAACTGTTGATTAATAATAGGGAAAGATAACAATATTTTAGGTGGAGCATCGTGGGAAGAAATGAAGACTGTCAGGGGGGAGGGTTTGAGTGCAGAGTTCAGTGACCAGAGGTAAGGGTCCAATCCATCTTTTGTGATGATAATTTACAGGAGAGAGACAAAGAAATAAAAAAAAATGAAAATAAATTGGATTACAACCTTCACCCATGGAAGAGGTTTAATAACCCTCAATAATCGTTATTGCTGCCACTATAACCCGCCAACTTCCTCTGCGAGTTGGTGCTTTTAATATGTATCACGTTTCCATTCGATTGAAACATAATTTCTCAGTTCGAATCAAGTTAAACTCGATGATTATTGGGGCTTAAATCAAACGCCCAGAAGTTGGTTGGAATTTTCATGCCTTGCAATCTTGAAAATGAAGAACACTCTGACAAAAGCTCAGAGGAAAAGTGAAAAGTTAATAATTGATTTGAGTTTGACATCAGTTCTTTGAACTGATTCATCACGTACGATTTGACCTCGGGTGAAAAACGAAAACAGCTACGGACGGATGTCATTAGGAACATGTATTTTTATTTTTTAACAGTTCCCGTGGATAGCAACATCCTTGATTAAGAGATCAGTATGCTTCCGAGAATGATAACACGTCTGATCACTCTGTTACGCTGTTTGAGAGGGTCGGTAACATCTGACAGCGTTCGTCGTTGAGGACATTGTTTCATTGTGCTATTAACTCGGAATATCCTCAAATCAAAGTTTCTTTCAATTTGTCTATCTTGTCCCGTGACTAGTGAGATCTTTCGAGATCTTGGATGGACCAAAAAATACAGTACTACCGGCGAGAGCGTCAGCTTGCATAAATAGTCAACTTAGCCCTGTTTTTTCACGGCTTGATTCGTAGAATACTTTTCTACATCTCTCTGGTCCTGCACTACGTTGCTATCACTCAACGGGAATATTTCTTTGTTATTGTCTCTCTGGCCGCGGGTGGGATCTTGAATGGCACAGAGATACGATGGCCCACAACTTTCACGGCAAGAACAAATACCTCACTTAAAAACCCAAATGCCCACGACAAAGCCAAAAGACTCACGGCAAAACCAAAGGCCTTTTAGTTTTGCCGTGAACTTTTTCCTGTTTGGTTTTGCCGTGAGATATTTGTTATTGCCATGGCGGTTGTGAGCCACCGTACAGAAAACACTTCAAGCCCGAGAGACAGCTGGTGTATAAAACGAAGTTAGGTCAAATGGTTTAAATAAAATTTAGCTAACTTAAGATCACGTTCAAGCTGTCCCTTCAGCTTATAGTAATTCCTAACTCATTTAAGATCTTACCTGCCAGAGGGACAAGATCAAAGTGCATGATTTACTCTCCACGTTTTATTCTGAACAAGTAAGGCAAATAAAAATGTCTTTGTGTTTTACATGAACGTCGCCTGACTGTTTGCAAATCGCAAATTATGTCATTGGAATAGTCCGACAAATTCCGCGAAAACCGCCCGATCCCAAAATTCGTTTCTAGTACTTTTCGGTTGTCCTCCGGCATAAAGCACCCGATTCGCTCATAATTAACCGCTTACATGCGGATTTAATTAGTATCAAATTAACGCATACAAGCGGTCAAAGTAGACTCAAGGCCTGGTGCCATAGCCTGCGAACCCTTGAAACGCGGCTTTGAAAAAGCTTTGGATACCATTATGCCTCCTAAACGCGATTTTAGGTCGAAAAAAAGTTTGAATGTAGTTACTTTTAAAGGAGGAAAAGCTATAAGAAAGTCGAAGTTTAGTGTTCCAGTTCGATATGCCGCCCAGCAATTAACTGATACAACGTCTGTAGTCGCCGGATCTTCTCTAAACACGTGCGGCGGTTTTTCTCCAGACCAAGAAGACCTTCCCCATATTGACGAATATCATGGTTTGAGAACCAACCAAAGATCTAAAAGTAAAAAAGTGCGACTGAAGCGCAAGTTAAAAGCTTACCATGAGAGGAAAGCCACGCTGGCTTTGTCTTGGCTCAATGCGAGAGAGCAGCTCGTCTCAGCGCTGTTGACCAGACAGGCTTTGCCTTTGGGGCAGATGTGTGTCATTCCTTTTTGCGAAGAAGAGGCGTGCGGCAGATGCCTTCACTGCAGTCCAGGGCAATTCCTATGCGCAGATCACATCAATTTAGTTCACGCAGGCGGTAGATCACTTCACCACCCGGAAGTTTGGAAAGTGAGTTGAAGATTTATGGAGGACAATCTCCTCCAGTCACCTTTTCAATTATGTTGTGAAACCCGATTTCTTGTGTACTCTGGCCGTTAGGCAATTTCATTTGTAAGTACGTTGTCTTGTGGTTTAATTGCAGAGATATCCATCTTTTTTTTCTTACAACTCCATATATCACCTCTATTCAATTACTTCACTTGATGTAGTTTTTTCTCAACTTCAATGTGCATTATGTCAATGAGACCTGACCCATTTTTATACAGAGGAAAAAGCGAAAGCAGTAAGGATAATTTTTTCTTGCAAGCATACATGTAATTTGCTCTATACTCAGAACAAAGTAAAGTTTATTTTTGGCAATTTTGAAAGAGTTGGCTGATTTAAATGGTGTGTGATTTGTATTCACCTGATTCATGTAGGATATTTTATGCTCTTAGGATGGAAGATTTGTGCCATATCAGTTTGGTGAGTGTGTATGGACCACACCTCACAACATGGATCATGGATATGTGCGTGACATTATAGCTGTCGGTTTGCATGGTAAGTAACTAGCAGCTGTGCAATATGTAACTATATTGTGAGATAGGTTGCCAGTCTGCAATTACTAGTACTACTTTTTACTTATACTTATATTTAAATAGTTAGGTTACCTCTTCCAGGAAGGTCTTTGTTTGTGTTTTAATTGTTTTTTTCAACACAGACAGGAATTAATAAACAATTATTATAGAAGAATACGACTATGGACACTCTATGGTGTTTGTCTTTATACAGGGCAGCAGAATCCCATCAAAATCAAATGTTGCGAGCATGAACCAGAAGCCATAACGCTGGTCAGGAATGGTTTCTGGCCATCTACTCCAAAACAGCCCCAGGTAGCCTTTGACCTTGAATTTATGGCCTTGCTCCAATACATTTTCTTAGAATGTAGAGTGTCTTTAAGGTCAATATGTCAGGCACTGCAGTGGCTGGTCCCACCTGCTTCAAAGGTTTACGTAAGTATTCATTCAGTAATTTTTTATCTTATGCTTATGAATTCCTTTTTATTTTCTTAATTTATACAATAAATAAATTATTTGTTTTCCTTTAGATTAAGGACATCTACCGGCTCCTTGTTGGAGATTGTTTCTGCGAGTTCCGGTATATGTCTAGCATGTTGAGTAACCTGAAGCATTTCAATCCTTCTTATGAGAATGATCATGAATGTCCTGCATGTCCTAAGGTTTGTGATAAGTCATCCTTCAGATGAAATGTCTAAGTGGGTAATATTTACCTTTAGAAATCTCAAATGACTATCACTATATGTGTTGGCATAATGAATGATATAATTTAGACAAGAAACATTGTTTTGAATCTTTATGATTCTCTCTTTTTCCTAGTGGTCCTCATAGTGTGGCAGCTGGTCTTAGCATGAGTTATTCCATTGTTTTTCATTCATTTAGGTGTAAGAAATATTTTTAACATGACATTTCTAATAAGATTTTGGCATCTGATTGTAGGAGAAGGGAAGTTTATTTATCTCTGTTGATGCATTGTTTGGATGTGTCCGCAAATGCAGTGCTGGAACTAGTGGAAAGTCCTCAAATCATGGAGAGGAACTGTTCATTAGCCAAGAAAAAGTAGATACATTTCTAGCTAATTACAGCAAAAGACCAAGCAGTAAGTCAATGGTGTGTGAACCAAAGGACTTTTTCTCTTACTTTGTATTTTGTTGCGTTGCTCTAACCTTTTGTTACCCATCAGTACTCATACCACTACTCAACCATTGCAATGAGAGACCAAAAGTAACAATTATGTTCGTTACTTGTAATAATGATGTTAGTGTTGAATAATTTAAATATGGTACAGTTTGAAGGGTTAATTACTTTGGTAACATTCTGCCCAAAATACATGTAGCTCAAATATATTGTTAGTTTGTTCTGTAAACTTAATTTACAAGAACTGTGTGAATTGTCAGCTTCAAGAACAAGTACATAATCTTTATTGCAGCCCCCTCTTTTCCTTGATCTTTTTCTTTTTTTTTTTTTCAAATACAGTTTTTTTCCCTCTTTTTTTGTAATTGATTTATGGTCTTTAAAGGTAATATCTTTGTATTTGCTTACACAACTAACTCTGCCAAGGGTGTCTACTGTCACTCTTGCTGGTCTCAAGCCTGAATGAAAGAGGAGGGGTTGTTATCAAGCAGTAAATTTATTTGGTTGTCCCATTTTTTAAATTTTTATGAGAAATTGATGAATGATTATTATTTTCTGCCAATATTTTCCTTGCCACCTTTCCCATAATGTAATGTTTAATTTCTAATGTGAGGGTTCACCTCCAACAACCCATATCTACTTTGAATGCTACACGTACATGAATGCTACATAGATCTTAATTCCTGTTCTGTTTTTATCTTTGATACTTCTGCTTTAAATGACATCTCAAGAAAAGGTAGAAAGGAAGTTGAAGATTAAGAGTTAAATGTTTTCTGTTGTAGGAGCAGTGTAATCAGTTTCAAGCTGGTTCCAATCTCCGTTCCAAAAACAAATCCACAAAGCTCGATGAGACAGCCCTCTTTGGTGGAGGCTGCAAGCACGAAGTGCCACTGAAGTTTTTCAGCTTAAAGAGAGGAGAAGAGTATGTACATGCAAAAGGAAATCTGTACATTATTGGTCAGCTATTGTTAAGAAATATGTAACC